GGGGGGGTGTCCTCGTGACTCAGTGAGACTACCTATATAAATAAAAAGGTTTAAAAAAATTCTGACCAGTGAAATTAGCAAACAGGTCACAGTGGACCAATGATGCTTGGTTTCATTGGTCCACTGTGACCTGTTTGCACAACGAGGAGGGGAGGAGAGAACGTTGGGGGCGGGGTTCCCCCTCACTTCCCCTCCCCGTTGTGCAGGAATTTCCCCCCTTCATGGGGCACAACAAAGTATTTGCAGCCACTCGAACTATGTGAATCATAAATCCAATTGCAAATTTGTTTCGAGGCAAAAGTTATGTTGAGAGCGACAATGAAAGAGACTGAGGACGAAAGTGATGATGTTTTTCTGAGGGGCTGTTCTATTCTGACAGTGAAGAAGACGGCTTTAGTGGTTTTAATGCACAGGAGGAAGATGAACAGTGTTCAAGGACTTGTCCTGATAGGCTACTGTTCAATGTTTCTTAAACCAGCTGTGTTGCAGGCACTGCTCAGAAAAAAAAAAAAACATTTACTGTACGTGTTTGTGCATGCTACTGATATGTTTTTAATTAAAAGTAAAAAAAAAAATATTTCTGTGTAAACATCTCATGTTACAATGTGGACACCGGCGGGTTTTAGACAAGTGTGACCTATATATGTACTTTTTAAAATTTTGTGGGTGTGGCTTATATTCAGGTGCGCTCAATAGTCCGGAAATTACGGCACTCATTTTCGTCTGCTTGTATATGGGTGGTCAATTAAATTGTGCAACTTCTGTGTGGAATTTTTTTTTAAAATAATGTCTTCCTATTTCTAGAAAACAATGTTTTAAAGAAAATAAAACCCAGTAAGTTCAAGATAAGCACATTAAGTAATTTTAGTCAAAGTAAAGGGGAATAAAGCAAATATAGATGCATACATAAGTGTATAAAACTGAAATAAACATTCTGATTCTTTGCTGGAGCTGGCACTTCATTCTCTTGGATCGTAACTCCCTGAAACATAATTTATTTATTCCACAGCACCCTTGTTCTACTTCTCTCAGAAATAGTTTTCAGTTGTTTAATAGCTTTCAGCCAGGCAGTCAAGAGCAGAATCAAACAAGAGCCGACCCAGACAAGGAAGAAAAACAAATCCTGAATCAAGATTTGGTTTCGGACTGAAAGAAAAACGTTAAAAAGTTTCTATCATCATAAAAACAGGATTCCTGGGAGTATGGACCTTTGGGGTGTTTCACCTCTGATTGATCATCACATGTTGCATACAACCCAAGTTTTTAGAAATTATTACTCAAATACCCATTAGCTGTTAGTTTTTAGTTTGCTTTTCTGCTGAACACCTCTGGCACAACTTTGTAAAGATCTGACACAATTCAGTGGGAATCAGCATTATGCTAATAGTCCCACCCTCGACTACGCTCGATTTGGTTTACTAATAATAACTTACAGCCACACAAGCCAGCGGGAAGGGGAGGACGTGAATGAACGCCTGGTGTGAGGAATGGAAAGGCTGTTTAAAATGAGCTCGCATGAAAGAATGGATCAGAGATGTGGAGGACACACCATTTTCTAGCAATATGACTCAGTCACACACTAATGAACCTGCTCAGATGGATAGCAGGAAAAGCAGAGTGAGAAGCAGAATATAGGAGTGGGGTCTTTATAATTTTCCACTCAGTTGCTGCCGTCTTACTGCAGGAACATCGAGTGAATGGATAAAAAAAAAAAAAAAACCTGTCCAAACATTCATTATTTAGGTTCTCATCTAGTAATTGAACACTGCGGCACTCAGAAGTTCTCATTTCTTTGTGCCACAGTCTGCACACAAATCAACAGCTTAGATCTCCTACATGTAGTTTGGTGGACTTATCAGAACAAATATCCTTGTTTGGGGCTGATCTAAATACAAGCCAACAAAAGTCCTGACCTCTAAGGGCTTTTATTTAAGTGCAATCATGTTTGACAAATTAGATTCAGATACGAGAGAGAGCACGGCACTTCAAACGCAACGAGAGCAGCACTCCACTTGTGGTGGATGCAAGTCTGAGGAGAGACCGTTTAATGATGAATAAAGAAGGCAGAATGCAAGAAAGAAAACGATCTGATAGAAAAATGACAAAAGAGTAAACACAGTGTAGGTCTGGCAAAAAGAAAGAAAGAAAGAGCAGTTTGTAAATTTGTCATCCTGTACTACCCAGACAGACATCTCTGTGAAAGTCTTGTTGCATTTTTAATAGCTACCATATTTTTTGCTATATAAGTCACATCTTTTTACATAAATCCACAAGTCCTGCGACTTGTACACTGAAACGACTAATATACGTTTTTTTGCCCCATATTTATAACCCAATTTATGTCTAAGATCTGACGATTTCATTCATTCTGACATGGAAAATATTGAACACTACCATTTTCAGCTGATAGAGGGCGCTCGAGTAATATGGAAAGCCAAGTGTCTCATTTATAGGTAAAAGTGGCTATTACGGAGACACTTGGCTTGCCATACCAAGCCACCTTTGTCGCTCGTCACAAATCGGCTTTTGAAATGCAGCTGATTTGACCAATATACTGCATTTATTAAGGAAAAGTTAAATTGAGACACACCTTTGCTATACGCTGATGAAAATTCTCAGTCATCCAGGACATGGTAAATCCAAAAATAGGTTAAAAAACAAAACAACTGGACTTTAATTGTAACTGAAGAGGTTTCGCTTCTCATGCAAGGAGCTTCCTTAATTTGAACAAAGAGTGTGGGATTCAAGTTATAAAGCAGAGGTGTTCTGTAAGCTCGCATAATGCAGATTGACACATGCAGATTGACCGCTCACTAACAAAGACCATAGCGATTCTCTGTTATGAAGAGCGAGAGGTCAGTCTGCATGCATTGAATTAAGAACGCTCCTCGGATGAGAAACGAAACATCGTCATTTACAAATAAAGTCTAGTTGTTTTGTTTTTAACCTTTTTTTGGATTCACCTTTGCTATAATTTCGAGCAAACAAATAATTGTTTTTAAGTGTAAATCTTGTTAAATTCTTGTCAAAGTCCTCTCATGCACGTTGCCGTGGCTGCCATTTGGTAGCCTATCGATTTTTGGCACAACACCAGCCCACATTTCCAGGTGGTCAGCGGCGACGCATAATCGATGCAACTTATACGGTGAAGTGACCGACCCCCCACTTTATTAGACATATTTGGACTGATGTGACTTATACGGCGGTACGACGTGTACGGTAGAAGTATGGTACATAATCCTAAATATATATTACACCGCAACAAGTTTTTAAAAAAAGTCCTATTTAGCTGATAAAGCAGATTACTATTTTATTTCCACAGATCATAAGACAAAACACTCCCTAAATAATGTTTAAATGAAAAATGTATCACAAAAGGGAGAATTTGCATTAAAAAAAATCAGCAGCTGTATTATAGAACAGTTTAAATGCTTTGTATGTGTTTTATTGAAAAAGAACTGCAAAGAAGCTACATTTCAGTCACAACAGAGACTCTTACCTGCTGTGGGATTATCTGATCAGATGACATGGCGAGATTGATTGCAAACACATGGTCCCTACAAAACAAAATACAGACATTAATGGGGGGTTTTCTTTCCAAGCTTTTATCTCGTCTTGATGCTTTCTGAACATTGATATCTGTAATATTTTCATCTATTTCACCCACAATGAAAGAAGAAATAAAAGCTTTGATTTCTCTTACTGAGATTCTTCACAGCTGCTCAACAACAACGTCTGGAAGGTGAAAAATAAAAAAATAAAAACAAGCAAACTTGGCCTTTTTGGCTTTAGGACCTCACAAAAGTTGTCCAAGCATTGACACAACTCGTATGAATCACTTTGTGAAGTGAGGCGTGCACTCTGCTGAATGCAGCTGTGGAAAATATTAGGCTAATTTAGAAATATTAAGGCTCTCCACACCGTTTGGATGGATTTTTTGGCACTAGCGGTGCTGCAGTTTGGTATGGAGCCAAAAAACGTAGGCAGAATTTATTTTACAGAAGAAACAAAAAGGCAGAGGTGGAGAAACGCTGTTCTTTGTATATAATTACCCTACAGCATTTAATCTAGGGAAAGCAATCTGGCCGAGGAAAGTAACAAAACATCTGAAGGGGTTTAACTGAAGGTGTGTTAAAAGCTTCTCAAAGTTTAATTTGGAGACATTTGACTTTAGCGTTACCATTTCTTCAAGACACTGACGTTGCATCAAAACCTACTTCTGCCTTGATACCACTTAAAGAAAGAGCAGTTTCTCCCCCCATCCTGCCAAGTTTTATCATTTCACCTGGTCCCTGCTATTTATACTTTGCTTGGTTTAACGTTTCTGTTAATAGTCTAAATGCTGACTCAGCATTCAAACTATATTTTACGTTATTTTGTCAGACATTTTTGCACAATGGGTGCAACTAAACTATTTTCCTACTTTACTTTGAGCCATTTATATTAATATATTAAAATTAGGGATGCACAATATTATCGACATGGTATTGGCATCAGCCAATATTAGTGTTAAAGTTAAATATCGGACATCGGCCATTCCATTAAAATAACTCACCGATATAAGACGCTGTTTTTGCGTGACAACCCAGTGACAAGGATACCTGCAGTGCCAGCACAACGTGATGTCACGCGCTCCTACCTGATCTGATCACGGCGGTGTGGAAGTTTTTTTTTTCCGTTGAGGATGTTGGATTCCCAAGATTTTTGGACTATGTTGAGCCTCACTACATCGCCCCCAGTCTGATATGTTTCTGACGAAGCCTTACCCGAGTTACAAGCCGCCATTTCCGACATCATTGAGAAGCTAATAGCTGATAGCACTTGGGTGAGTTTTACCACAGACATTTGGACATCGTGTTAGTCCTGTTAGCATGATTTGTCTTACAGCATAATGGATAGACAAAAACTTTAAACTTAAAAAGTCTGTCCTTCATGCACAAGAGTGCAGAGGATCCCACACTGCAGCTATAGGAACCTGGAACAAGTCTCCACAAGTGAGACAGCATCGCAGGTGACTAATGCTAATAAATAACATGTAACACTTTTCATTTAATATACGTTAAAGTACTATAAATATATGGCTATTATACAGACTATTTGTCACCAGCTCTTACAGCTGTTACACAATGTTTTTGTAGCAAATAAGACTAAATAAGAGGGCTATGTTCTGATAAAGGAAAGTATATAAAAAATATTGATATTGGCCAAATAAGTTTTAACATATCGGCATATCGGATATCTGTCAAAAATCCAATATCGTGCATCTCTAATTAAAATGCTTATTTAATTCTGGAAATGGGTGATGCAACTTTGGATTTTTACAACTTATATTTTTCTAAATATTTAACTTTAATTACGTTTTGTCTTCATACAAATACACAAACTTTTCTTCAGTTCAATTAAAATCAATCTTTGAAATTTCCTTCAACAAGCTTCATTTTTGTCTTCCGATGCTTCTTTTAGCTGTTATCTACTTTCAGCTTCTATATATGATAATTTGCTTATTTTGATTTTTAGCAAGCATTTTGCATTTTTCATCTTTTAGCTAATGTTTTGCTCCTTTAGTCATGTAGCCCTCAGCATCCAGGCTGCAATTTCAAATAAAATGCATTTTCTCTAGTTTTTACTTAGCCGTTTGTTTACTTATATTTTCAACTATACAAAAGAAAATGCATCTCGTAGAAAGTTTTTATTCTTCAGCAGCTTATTTAACCCACCTGGATGCTTAGTGACTGATGTCAAAGGCAAAATTAGTGCATTTGTTGTTTATAATTAAGCAGATGCTTTAGGGTATATTAGTTTAACCCATTAACAAAACATAAATAGGTTCAGATGTTGGAAACGGGTACAAAAATAAAATAAAAAAAATCACATATGTGGGCAGTTAACAGAAAACAAATATTAAAGGGAAAGAAAACGAAAACTGACCGGGCAGCGATGTAAAGCATGTGGTTGATTCTCAGCATACGTTGGAAGTCCAGGCCCAGGCGGAGTGTGTCGTTGTCTGACATGAGCCCCTGGAAGCTGGGGTAGAGGTACGAAGCTGCACGGATCAAAAGATGAAGATAACGGTCATGAAACTTGCATAAACTCTCAGCTTTTGTTTGAAGATGTACTTTAATCCTGACAATTATTCGCTTTTCCTATTACACCGTCATCGCTTATAACAACAAACATTTACCATATTTGTATCATATGCTTACTGTTATATAACAACAACAAAAAAAAAAAATGTACATAATTCACAATTTAGTAGAAACAATCCCTATCCAAGAGGTTACCATCTAGGACACTGTGCTCATAAGCCAGAGCTAATACAGTATGCTAATGTGAACTTGTGGAGGTGGAAGAGCAGGGAATAACAATGATTAAAAAGAAAGACATCCTAAGATGCAAATTAAGCAGTTGTGTCACAGAAGTCAATCTGATTTAAATAAACGCCTCTTGGTAAGCATTTGTGCACAGACGTGTCTGGGGACTGAGCCAAGCAGGGACAAGGAAACAAAAGTATTTCAGCAGAGTCTCACTGTCTGGGTCAAGCCACATTTAAATAGCAGTCATCTGTTTCCCAGGTTACAGAAGTTCAACTTTAAGTCATCATCAATGAAATTTAAATAGCTTCACCTTGCAAAAGAACGTCTAAAATACTGAAGGGGGAAAAAAAAAGCATATAATTTAGGAGAAATCAGGTGTGCTCATGCATAAAGTGTGTGGGTGAAATAGCACAAAAATTGCAAGATAAGATGAACCTGGCGAGGTGGAGCGAACAGAAAGAGCGATACATCAGCTCTGTGTTCCATTAGAGCAGATATTCTTCATGTAAATTTCTCTTCTCCTCCTCGTTTCTAGCAGCGCATTAACTCGCAGGATGGAGATGTTTGAACAACGAGTGCTAAAGTCCAGGACTTTAACTGAAAAAAAAATGACAGCCTGTCAGCAGATTGGCATCTCTTTTAAAAACTGTTCAAAAAATAAAAGACAAAGCTTGAAGCAAAATTAAAATGAGCCCGCCTCAAAACTGATGCCAAGCCTTTGTCCACTTAAGACTTATTTTTTGGTGCTTTTGTTTAACTATTTTAAACTAAACATTAATTAAAATGAAGTTAATAAAGCTCTGAACTTGTAAATAACTTACTAAGTGCCCCCCCTGCCTCTCTTTTGACCTGGGCTGCTTAATTAACAATCCCCACTAGAATTACAGCCCAACCCAAAATTAGCCTCTTTACGGAGAGTCCCCCAAACCACTTGTGTCAAATCAACTGTTAAAAATCTGAAAGCCTAATGACTGGTTAAGTGCTGGACTTTGCTGTGCAGTCTGGTGAAAGAACGTCCAACGTTTAAACGCACGTCCTGCAGTCCTGTCGCTAGAAAATGAGGATTTCTGATTGCATTTGAGAACTTTCACATCCTGTGTGACACGGAGGCAACCGGGTCCCTGGAGGCAAAAGTGACGAGGCAGCTAATGGAGGTCAGATAACTTTCAGACTTTCCAGGCAAAAGACCAAAAACCTTCACTGAGCTGCAACATCAAAACACAGACTCGGACTCAACCAAAACATATCAAGCAAAAAGAAAAAAAAAGTATATTTATTATTTATTTATTATTATTTATTTATAAAGACTATTTATTCATCCATCCATTATCTTTACCCGCTTCTTCCTTTAAGAAAATGAATTCACTATTAATTATTTAAATTTTCAATTTATCTGCTTTTAAATGAGAATACAGTAGTACATCGAAACTTCACGGGTCGTTTATCGTGGACTCGCTCTATAGCAGTTTTTCAAAATAAGATTGGACATGACAAACAATTGGCTGGTTGATGGATGAGCCGCACGACCGGCATGAGACTTTTATTTAAAATAAATTATTTTAAATTATTTAGCACCTGTGTGCAGCCCAAGCTGCAGAAAAAAAGCTTTCTCCTGCAGTGCGTCATATCTCTGCTCTGCAGTGGAGAAGTGGGCGTGGCCAAGAGCACTGGCAGGTGGAAGAGAGCAGCCAGAGGCAGAGAGCTAACACCATGACATTCTGTTCTCTCTTTTAGAGCCTTTAGAGTTTAGTAACATTGTTTAGAACATTGCAAGTGTGTAGGAAGGGTTTAAAATGCCTTAACAATTATAATTGTGTGTATATATATATATATATATATATATATATATATATATATAAAAACTACTACTTACTACTTGAATTACTATTCCTACTTCTCGATTTTTCACTTATCAGGGAACAAACAGATCCCCGTGATAAATGGACTACTGTATAACCAAATAACTCAACTTTGAGAAATGTATCTAACAAAACTATATGTACAGTATATACATATTTAATTAATTAAATTAATTAATTTAATTAATAATGAGAGTGCCAAGGGAGGAGGTGTGGTATTGCATGAGAAAATCTGGAGTGGCAGAAAAGTATATTAGACTGGTACAGGACATGTATAAGGACAGCAGGACAGTGGTGAGATGTACTGTAGGAGTGACAGATAGCTTCAATGTGGAGGTGGGAGTGCATCAAGGATTGGCTCTGAGCCCCTTCTTGTTTGCTCTGGTGATGGACCGACTAACAGATGAGGTCAGGCAAGAATCCCCGTGGACTATGATGTTTGCAGATGACATCTGTGGTGAGAACAGGGAACAGGTGGAAGAGAACTTGGAGAGGTGGAGGTATGCACTTGAAAGAAGAGGAATGAAAGTCAGCTGTAGTAAGACAGAGTACATGTGTGTGAATGAGAGGGAGGAGGTGGAACAGTGAGGCTACAAGGAGCAGAGGTCACAAAGGTGCAGGACTTCAAGGACTTGGGGTCCACTGTCCAGGAAAATGGGGAATGTGGTAAAGAGGTGAAAAAGAGAGTCCAGTCAGGATGGAGTAGATGGAGAAAAGTTTCAGGAGTGATTTGTGACAAAAGGGTGGCAGCAAAGGTCAAAGGAAACGTTTACAAGACAGTGGTGAGACCAGCTATATTGTATGCATATTTTGTATGTTGCTTTGTGTGTTGTCTGTTGTTCTGTCTGTACAGCACTTTGGCTGACCTTGTAGCTGTTTTAGGTGCTCTATAAATAAAATGGTATGGTATGGTCTGGAGACAGAAGCACTGACAAAAAGACAGGAGACAGAACTGGAAGTGGCAGAAATGAAGATGTTAAGGTTCTCCTTAGGAGTGACAAGGATGGATAAGATTAGGAACAAGATCATCAGAGGTACAGCACAGGTTGAACAACTGACAGATAAAGTTAGAGAGGCCATACTGAGATGGTTTGGACATGTCCAGAGGAGCGACCGTAGGTATATTGATAGAAGGATGTTAGAAATGCAGCTGCCAGAAAAAAGACAAAGAGGAGATCTATGGATGCAGTTAGAGAGGACATGGAGGTAGTTGGAGTGAGGACAGAGGACGCAGAGGACAGAGTGAGGTGGAGGAGGATGACTCACTGTGGAGACTCCTGAAGAGGGAAAAGCCGAAAGAAGAAGAAGAAGATATATTTAATTAATTGTTCATAGTGGCAAATCAACTCTCTTTGAATTCATATCACGTTCCAGGGAACAAATACTTATTAAAAGTTTAAAAGGTTTTGGTTTGTAGTAATGTTCAGTAAACCCTTAAATATGACTTTATGTTCAAATTATTGCGTGATTGATTGAAAGAGAAACATTTTAAAATGTCAATGCTCTCTTGTGTATTTATAGTGGAGCTATTGACTGCTCTCTCACCACATCCTTTTACTACCTAAGATCATTAGTGTGGAAAAGTGCACGTTTTCATCAACAAGGCTTCTGTTTATTCCATTAGACGTGCACTGAATCATCAATCATTACCATCCTGGATTATGCATATTGGTATTTAACCACTTTTATCAAATCATCACCAGCTGATGACTTCTCGTTGGTCCACTGTAACCTTTACCTGTACCTTTAAATGTTCGAGTCATGTCACAAATAATGTCTTCTGGGCTTTGTTGCTGCTGTGCAGTAAAAGTGAAGCGAGATCCTGCGTCCTGCACTGCAACTCACTGCATTCTGCCAAATCTTTTTATAAGCAGTAAAAGTCGTTGGAGCATTTCTGAAACTGCATAAAATAAATATCTACCTTAAAGCAGCTCATAGTCAACACGTTATGGTGATGAACTGGCTTACACAAAAAGCTATGAAATAAATAGTGTGTAAAACAGCCAGTAAATGCTTCATAGTCTGTTTTCAGGTTAGTTTAACGATCCAGGACAACGAGGGGTTCTGAAGTCCTGCAGAGAAGACGAGATAGGGCATCACGTTTTCTGAACTCACCCAGGAGTACGATTGCAAAAGTCAAATCATTTGATAGTCATGGGTTTCCTTCATCATGTTCTTTGACAAACTATAAAAGTATAAAACACGGTATGGATACATCCCTAGTTCCACAAAAATAAGTCCATAAATGGCAGCTGAGTATAAACAAGTTAAGCAAGACATATCTGCACCAACTTAGGATTTACAGTCCACACAATCCACTACCGATAAAGTTATGATGCCAACAGGTTTAGTCTTTTCCCCGCACAAGGAGTCATTTAGATATGATTTCAAAGACTTCCTTTTTACAAAATACTACAATTTATTACAGATGTACCAAAGTTATAAGGGACCTTGCGCCGTGCTGTCACTTGCTAGAGTCAGAGGTGACAAATTGCTCCCATTACACCTGGGACGGAGCTCCAAATATAGCACTATTAGTGCACTATTTCTGCTAATGCTTGCATTACTCTCTTCCAGATAGATCAATTACAGTGTGTGGGACATGGTCCCAGCCACCTCGTAAATCCATTACGGCCCATAACAGTTACTAGCCAAGACCTCTACTGAAGACCGCTCTGATGAGATGTCAGGTATTTGTCTTTTATGATAAAAAAAAAAGTGTTACGGATGTCAAATGTTTTAGCCAAAACCAAATCTCATGTTTTAGTATTTTTATGCTTGGATGTAATTTTTCATTAAGGAGTGGTGGCACAGAGGTTAGAGATGGTGAGCCTGTGATCGGAAGATCGCTGGGTCAACTCCCAGTACAGACATCAAAATGTGGGTGGGAAAAGTGAAGCACCCACACCTGTCTCCACCCTCATTTGCCCCACTCTGGGCCCTTCAGCAAGGCCTTAACCCCCAACATCTGCTCCCCCGGGCACCCTAGATGTAGCTCTCTGCTCCACACAGAGGGCTGTGGTAGCTCGGTGGTCTGTGGTTGCGTCAGGACTCAGGAAGGGCATCCGGTATAAAAATAATTGCCAAGTCTTTGTGCGACTTAGTTCGCTGTGGCGACCCCTAAAGAAGGGATTCAAGGATTCAAGGTTCTTTACCATCATTCGCATCACTTGTCCCTTTTAAAAGGGAGTTTTTCCTTCCCACTGTTGCCACTGTGCTTGCTCAGGATGGGAAACTGCGACGAAGTGAAGATTTAACGTGTCTGCTTGCTTCCTTAGATAGAGAACTTTACTAATTGGCTTTTCTATGCATGTGAATGTTCCTGTAAAGTGCCCTGGGACAACTTCATCGTGATTTGGCACCGTATAAATAAACTGAATTGAATTGAATTGGTACATGAGGTGGAACGAAACTGAGTAAACAGAGCCCCCAGTTGCATCCAATAAAAGTATAAAATGTAAAAGAAGAAATCTAAAATATGAACAAAGAAAAACATGAACTAAAAATACGCTAAGCACTAGTAGTACAAAAACAATATGTCGAACAGCAGCCGAAAGAAGAAGAATGTACTTTTTCATTAGATTCTATTTACCGTAATTGGAAACTGATAATTGTGGTAGTCAGTTCAAACAAAGTATAAAGAAACTACCGTAAATTAGTTGTCAGGCTGTTTTCCTGTTCTCCAAACTGCTCTCACTTCGAGTTTTCAGGGCAGGCAGCTTGATTCAAGCATCTCTTAAGGGCTCAGCATACTCCATCCGTAGTGACAAAATCGTCTCTTATTGTCGTAGTTGCGTGATGAAAACAGCGTCATTTTATTCTCAGAGCAGTTTCTCCCGCCCCTTCTCCACACAAGGTCCAAGGTTAACTTTTCTCACAGGTGTATGCATCAAGTATTGTGTGATTGGTCAGAAGTTTGTGGGCGTGTTCGTCACTGCAGAAATGCACCTGGACATTCAGCTGAATGACCCCTCAAACACACTAAATTAGTCAAATGACCAAAAACTCCTGGATGGAGATTGTGCAGACATCATATATGGAAGTGAGTGGAGCTTTCTTCAGATAAATTTGTGGCCAGATGATGGCTGCAGGGATGGAGTGGAGACTTGGCGGGAAGAAACCCGTACGGTGATGCAGCGGGAGGGGTTTCTCAGGCGTTCTGCACCTGTGTCTTGTGGACTATGAAAGGTGTGCATGAAAACAAACATCCTGCAACCACGTGACCTCGAGTCGACTGCTCGGCTTTGGATGGAGCACGCTGGGCCCTTTAGTTTTCCGTTTATTTGACACTTTTGAATAACTGGAATCGTTATGACTCATTAGGTTGTATAATGGATAAAAGTCAAAACATTTAAATTTTCAAGTAGCTTGTCTGCTGATTCCTCCAAAAGGTACAACTGATCTAAAACAATTACAAATCACTTCCTTTCTCCTATTTGTCAGATAGATTTAGTCTGTGCCAAGCTGCTGTTTTATACAAACTGTTTGTGAAGAGTCTGAATCTTTATGGACAATCTGGCTAACGAGCTGCAACATGAAATGGAAACTAACAATTCTACAAACTTTTCAAAGATTAAGATTATTTTCAGTGACCAAAAACTCAAAAATATGCTTTTATAAGGAAAGAGTGCACACGTGGACAAGACTCAAACTTCAACTGAGAGTTCAGCAGACAGGCGGACAAGTGGAACTACAAAATTATGTATTTGACAGTTTAGGACTACAAACCTACAAATAATCGCAACATGTTTTGTTTGCACATTCTTTTATGCCTCACACTCATTTTTACACTAGAAAGTAAACAAGTAAACACACTGATTCACATCCAAGGAACAAAGCCAGCCTTGTAAACATTTCATTGTTGCAAATGTGGCCTTAAACACATCCTCCACCCTGAGCCGTGTCCCCCAGTGATGAGACATAATGCCTTTGTGACCATCACCTTGTATTACATGTACTCTTGCAATAATGGTCACCATGGCAACACAACAGACTTGACACTTACATTCTCTTCCCACAATGCTGATTGGTTCCAGGTCTTGGGGAAATGGTGCTGCTCCTGAGGACAGCTGAGGTAAAAAGGCAACTACAGTGAGAGCCAGGAAGGCTGGCAGGATGGGCTGAGGCAGTTTGGGCATCAGCCTCATGTTGGCAGAAGAAGGGGGACGTCACCAGAAACACATGGTCCACAACAGACTCCCCAAGTCCACCTGAGAACAAACACAGAATGATCAAGGTTAGAATGATAGTTAAATCTGGCACGCCTGACTTTCAAACGCATCACAGAATCAGTCCTATGATCAGTTAAATCAGTCTTTATACATTTACTAATTCCAACAGCACCACCTCATTTATCCTCCCATTACAACATCTTGATGGCAGTTTAAAGAAGTTAGGACAGGGCACTTGGTTTTTATGGTAAATCTTGAAAGAAGTTGACTATTTTTTATGTTGTGAATTAAATTTAGCTAGGAAATTCATCATGGCATAAAAAAAAAAAATAAAGAGAACCTGAGACTCCTGACTTCAACATTTTGCTCGTCTGAGACGCAAACAAAAAAAAAAGGACAATAATTCATCATTCACGTTCAACTACACAGTAACAGAGCTGGACAGAAGGTTGAGGGAATTATCAGTATATCAGCAGCAGCGTAGCAGGACAGTTGCAGATAGAGAGCGGAGCATTGTTGTATTCATTCAACCTTTATTTAGACAGGTAAATCCCATTGAGCCTCGAGGACTCATTTACAAGAGAGACCTGATTGTATGCGTACTGTGTGGACACGGAGACTCTGTGGTTTGTTTGGACCACCCATTGTAAGCTACAGGTCATGAACTTTAAGGACAGGAAGGTGTAAACATATTACTGACTTTTGTGTCGTCCCAAATTTCCACTTCAGAAGCAAACAACTTTAAACTACTTATGACTTATGATTAATTATTTTAGCAACTGAGTTGTCCTCCTGCTTTTAGACTTATCATCTGCTTTTGACACCGTGGACCATAACATCTTACTTTGTCGTTTGAAGCAATTGGTGGGGGGTGGGGACAGCGGTACTGGACTGGTTTAGGTCCTACTTAGCAGAGCGTACTTTCTGTGTCTGCCTTGGTGACCATGTGTTCTCCTCTGCTCCCCTCTTGTTTGGGGTTCCACAGGACTCAGTCTTAGGTCCCCTCATCTTCACACTGTACCTGCTCCCTCTTGGCAAAATATGGGATCTCCTTTCATTGTTACGCAGATGATGCACAGATCTATGTCCCGCTAAAGAAAAATGACAAACTCTATGGCCCCTCTGTGTTCATGTCTGGAGGACATCAAAGCCTGGATGGCTGTGAACTTCTCAAAGTTCAATGAGGGAAAGACTGAGGTGATGGTCTTTGGAAGCTTCACTGAGATTCCCAATGTGGATGTTTGTTCCTTGGTCCAGTATATCGGGCCAACTGTTACAAACTTGGGGGTCAAAGTCGATGATGGACTAAAGTTAGAAAATCACATCAGAGCAGTTGTTAAAACTAGTTTTTTTTTTCCAACTGAGGCAGCTGGCTAAAGTAAAGCAGATTCTTTCCAAGCGTCATTTTAAAACAGTAGTTTATGCCTTTGTGACCACTCGGCTGGACTACTGTAACATAATCTACACAGGATTATTGAGCATGCATCAGGATATAATCTACACAGGAATCACTGATCCATGCATCTCTCAGCTTCAGAGGGTACAGAACGCTGCTGCATGGTTTTTAACTGGCACACGAAAGTTTTACCACATTTCACCTGTTTTAGCCTCCCTGCACTGGCTGCCCGTACATTCCAGGATTCATTTAAAAATCATTTTATTTTATTTGCTTTTAAAGCTCTTAATGGACTTGCCCCGCCCTATCAGTCTGAATTGCTACATCTGTACAGCCTCTCAATCCCTCAGGTCATGTGATCAGCTGCTCCTGAGTGTGCCAAAGACAAAGCGTAAGCTCAGAGAAGACCGTGCTTTTGCTGTGACAGCTCCTAAACTGTGGAACGACCTACCCTTGATCATCAGACAGGCCTCTTCCCCGTCCGTTTTTAAATCCCTTCTTAAACCCATCTCTTCTCATTGACCTTTGACACCATCCGAGACATCGACTTTTAATAATTTGAATCGCTTTTTATTATCCGATTGTATGATTGCTTTATGATGTGTCCTGTATGTGTACAACTTTTATTATGTGACTTTTAATCATTTTAATCTTTTTAATTATCTGACTGTATTATTGTTTTATTATGTGTACAGCACGTTGGTCCTGTGGGTGTTGAAAGTGCTCTATAAATAAAGCTGGCATGGTATGATTACTCTTTATTTCTAATTATATAAATAAGACTTAATTAAAATTATTTTATCTGAAGGATACGTGTTAAATACACAAAATTCTATGTCTATTGGTGGGCAGCAATCACATTTGTTCCTGTAAATAAACATTTTACAGTTTGGTTTGACATTTTATTATTGTTCTATATTACAGCATGTTCTGTTATTATATTATAGCATGCTGATGTGTCTGCTTGGAAGAATAACTGAAAGTTAACCTGTGGTGATCAAATATTTATTGTATATATATATTTATTGTATATATATATATGTGTGTGTGTGTGTGTGTAACCCTGATGTTCTGTTCTTTCCTCTCATTCAGATGTGCATTAATTTATTGAAATTTGGCATAGACACATTTGACACAAATCGGCTCTGAAGAAAAAGAACATGGAGGATATAACTAAACATAGTAGCTGAGCTGTGAACACAGAGATTAGTATATATGACAAATTAAATTAGCCTGGCAACCAGACGACTGTTCTTTATTGTGATTCATCACCAGAAAAAATAAAAACTACAGAATTAAACTAAGAAAATTAGTAAAATATGTAAAAAAAAATATATATATATATTTGATGGCATACATTTAAAGACACATACATAATAAATTGTTTAACAAACAAGCTTTTAGTTATTTTAAAAATGATAAAATATTGCAGTTTACTGCGTGTGTTGATCTAACTTCAGAATGTGATGACCTGCATCCAGACAGTTTATTTGGGCAGAATCTCCCTTCGTGCTTTCAAAGTTCATGAACTGTCAGTTGGAATAAGACTTGGGCGCCACACTCTATTTTTAGTAAAAGCAGAAAATAAAGTCCAACGAGATATGAAACATCACTGAAAATAGTTTGCTTCATCTAAATGTAGGGGAAGAGCTGCATTTAGCAACGAGGCCAAGCAATGGTTGCAATCCCACAATGTGAGAAAGCAAGAGAGAGCCTGCTTGTGTTACTTTGTGAATGACAACAGTTTGTGTGGCAGCCGGTGGCTCTAAATAATAATATTTTTGATAGATTGGCTTCGTACGCCATGAGTTGAATATTTTTTCCTGCCAGAGAGGGCAGTCATTTGCACAAACATATTGTTATAGTAGTATTTATCAAATGGATAAATAAACAAAAAAAATCTCAAAATGTTAAAAAACACCCAAAATACCAAATAAAACGACTGTTTTAGGAGAAGAAACAAATGTTAAAAAGTCCAACAGTACTCAGCTAACCTGCTTCTGTTTTGAATATGCAGCCGTCCAGCCAGAAGCAGCAGATTCAGGGAACAGGAATCATTCTGAAATCATTGACAATCCACTTAGTTCAACAAAGGCAGCCAGCAGAGTGATGAAGCACGCTAAACAAGACAACCAGAGTAAATACAAGAGCACACTTACTCCACAAGCCAAGATTCTCAGATCACGCAGCCTGTTAAGGATTCCATTTTTTCCTCTACTGGTGGTATGCAATTTTTTAACGAGCTCATTTGAAATGTTGAGGAAATGCACAATAGCCATGTCAAGAGAGGGATTCAGGATTTATAGAGATGTTCTTGTTTCATTACGTCTCTAGACAAACCTGCCAGTCAGCCACAAAACCCAGAAAGACTGAGGCAGACAATATTACCAACACCCTGTAATAAACTCACAAACAAAATGTTCCGTTGCTGCTTGGCTTCGAAGAACTGGTTCATCTGAAATGTTTAATTTTCTAGAGGAGAACCAGTCAACAAAGCAGCTACTCAAATGGTAAACGGACTGTACTTATATAGCACTTTTCTATGTTATCGACATACTTAAAGCTCTTTAGACTACAATCTGCGCCTCATTTACCCATTCATACAGCACTCTGACTAGATCTCTACAAAGAATAATCAGAGCTTTATCACAATCATACACCGATGGGACAAACATCGGAGGCAATGAGGGGTTCAGTGTCTTGCCCAGAGACACATGGGCATGTGACTGCTTGTGGAATCGAACCCCCAACTCTCCTATTGGAGGACGACTGCTCTAAACACTCAAGTACAACATTATTTGTTTCATATTTGGGACAGTATTTTGACTGAGTTATGATTTTATTCAATGTAGCAACTTGTTTGAGAAATGCTTTGGGCATTTGTACAAATTATGAGTCACTTTAAGACACTCAGACGTAAATAATGTGTCCTCGTTGAAACAAATTTCATGGTATTGCACCGATTGTCTGCTAAATTTGAATAAAGTCCAGATCTACAATAAGCACATTAGTGAATAAACAAAACTGATATTAAAAGTTAAGCTTTGAACTGGGCTTTTGTTCTTCAGAATTCATCTGTATCCAGATTTTGTAAAATTGTTGCCCAACTTTTGACCTTTTTCCAGCATGAGTTGATCCAGCAAGAACACATGAGCTGCTGATGTTTACCTGTGATGTAAATGCATGACTGACACATCCCTCACCAGAATAATGTCTTAATTCAACCAGTCAGTTGGTGCCTGTGTCTGTGGAGGGAGTGGATGGTGAAGAGCTGACAGCTGTCAAAGGGAAATAAGCCATCCCATGTTTGCTATTTGTGTTGAAGGATTTGGCTGGTAGGGCTCCAATCATTTTGTTTTTAATGAACTGGACTTGTTAAGCCATTAAGAAGCCATTGGCAGCAGAGGATAAAAGTTTCTGGGAACCTGGGGTCCTTCATTGATTATCTGACATTCACTTGGATTAGCAAACAGCCTTGTGTCTGTGGATTTATATGACATCTCCTCAGACTTTACTTGGCTGATGCACGAAGAAGACATATAAAATAGAGCTTTGTCTTTAGTGGTTGGCATGGATAAGGCCATAAAGCCATTTATATTCATACATCATCTTTTGCAAGTAATCTTTTTATGTTTTACTGGCC